ACATCTTTGTCATTGCCTGTGATGTGAAACTGGATCAAAGCTATTCATGTTGTCACTTCAATTGAATTATGTGCACCGTTGGTGCAACATATGTTGATCTTAATTGCTGTTTAAAATGTCATCAAAATGTAACCCTATGATTTAGGATTGAAACAAATAGTTATCATATATGCAGAATGGGATGAGAACAAATCAGCAGGGTACAAATTTGATATTTGTGAAGCAACTATTTGTCACTAGATGGATGACCCTAAATTTCAAGTTTTCTTGGAAAGCAACAATAAAATGCTTTATAGGATGTAAGAAAGGAAGATGCTCACAAGGAGATAAAGTCGTATTATATTTTGTTGCTGAAGTTCATGCAAAAAAAGATTGCCTGTCATAAGCAACAGTGGCAAGAGAAATTGCTAAATTTCTCATAATAGATGAAAGAAATCTCAGCACAATAAGAGCCTGGAGTGAATGATTCATGCATTGCACAGTATTATCATTAAGATGTACAGCATCAATTTATCAGAAACATCCTGCTGACCAAACAGAATACACTTAACTTACAGCAGGATGCAAGTGAGGAAAAATGATAATATGTGTTTAATCAAAGAGGTAATGCTATAGATGAGGGAGTGGTTTTCCTTGGCAAGACTTAAAATTATACTGCCAATACAAAAGGATCTTTAAGGAGGCCAATATTATGAATTTGGGATATCGAAAGCAGCATATCACTGTGATCTTATGTCTAACTGCTGATTGCTGAAGTTGCCACCATATTTAATTTGTGTAACTATAAAACAATGTCTAAGAATAATAACTTTTTTAAAGGTATTATTGAGAGTGAACCACAATAGTGGATGGATAATGGCTGAGGTGACAGAAGACTTATTAGAGGTCTTCTGGAAGAGACATCTGAGAATCTACCATATATTCTAGTTCTCAATGATTCCACAGACATCTGCCTGAAAAGTTAAATAGGAATCTCACCTATTAGTGATGTGGTTGTAAATCGTGATGGCATGACCAGACTGTTAACAGCTCTTCAGCATTTCAGTCAACAAACCATTTAACCATATGTTGAAAAAATAAAAGTCCTGGTTCTTGTCTGAAACCTTCTACTGAGAAATTTTGGAAAGATCAAGAAAGTGCCAGCGTCAAACTTACAAAATGAAGACAATAATTGTGCACACTCTACAGAAATATGCATCACTGACATTCTTGATGGCCCAGAAGACATTATTTTATGGAAAAATATGGGTGCCAATGAATCTAAGTTTAAAAGAGATTCAGAAAAATTGAACTCTAAAGAGAAGTAGTTTTAGGAAGACATTGGCCAGCTTATTACACATATACTTCCCCTTTAATATATGTATATAGTACTGATATATTAGTAAATATCTATGTCTCAACAAATTTAAAGTGATTAAAGTCATTCAGAGCATATATTCTGGTTAAAATTGAATTATGCTAAAAATTCACAGAAAGGAAAAGATAAATAGAAAATCCTTATGTTCTGAAATTAACCAATACATTTCTAAATAAGCCACCTTAGGACAAAGATGAAATCTTGATGGAAGTTAGATGATTGAAAAGAAGGAAAATTCTATCAATATCCATATAATGTATGATTTGTGTATGCAGAAAATTCAAAATAAGCCACAGATAAAAATTTAGAATTGGTAAGAGATGTTACAAAAGCATTAGAATCAGAGTTTAGCAAGCTTGCTGGATTCATAATCAATTATATTTCTATAGAACAGCAAAAACAATGAAGAAAAAGATATTTATTCTTATATCAAAGATAGCAAACTACATAGAAATAAACCTAATGAAACGTGTAAAATTATAATGTTTAATAGAGACACATTAAAGAAGACATAAATAAGTAGATTAGAACATAAGTATAAAAATGCCATATCTCCCTAAAATTTATCTAAATATTTAATGCCATGAAAATTCTCTCTCTCACACACACACACACACACACACAACACCAGTGTGTGTGTGTGTGTGTGTGTGTGTGAGAGAGAGAGAGAGAGAGAGAGAGAAAGAGAGGCTTGATAAGTTGATTCTAAAATGTATACATAAATACAAATATTCTACTTGACATCAAGACTTAACTATAAAGCTGTAGTTAAAAAAAAAAAAGCTAATCTATTGACGAGGCAGAGACAGAACCTCAAGATTCTGGAATGGAGTCTAGAAACAAGCCCACCCACAGATGAACACTTGATTTATGACGGAGTCGGCCCAGCAGAGCAGTGGGGAAAGAATAAGATGTTCAGTAAATGTTATTGGAATTTGGTAGACATATGGAAAAAAGTGAAAGAAAACTATCATTATTAATAAGCTCAAAATTAATTACAATCAATGGTGCAAAACCACAAGGAAAAATCTCCATGCCCACAGCTTGGAGAAAAATTTCTTAAATCATAAGAAGCATAAAGGAAAAGACTAATAAATGATTTTATTAAAATTTAAAACCTCTTCATTGACACTAGAAGATAGGAACAAGACAAGCCAGAGAGTAGAATGTATTTGCAATACATTTGCATGAGAAACCGATACCCTACAGAAAATGAGCAGTTTCTCTTTCTCTGGCATGCTTCTTCCTTCCTCCCACCAACACATACTTAGGAGTTTGTTTTGTTTTTATTTTGAGGTTCATATACTTGGTAACTGCTGAAAGGTGAATATGAGTTATGCCTTTGTTACTTAGGAAAATAGAAGTGTTCATCTGGTACTGAATCTATAATGATAAATTTTCCATAAGATGTTTTTGTCTCATATATTTAAATGGGGCCTTAGAAAAAATGCCAAAGGAAAGTAAAAAGATATCCTAGATGAAAACAGTGGTGATTCCTGGCTCTTAACAAAGAAGAAAAAGTGAGTAATTTAACCTTACAAAGAATGGGGGAAACTGAATCTGAACAGGAAGGTAGAAGTGCACGTAAGAAAGGAAAATGAATAAAGTGTACAACACAACTGAGAAATGTTGAAAGGTAGTATCTAGATGATTGGCATAGAAATACTCCAGAAACAGTGAGAAAGCCAGGCAAATAATAGTAATTCTTGGGCTCTTAGAGGAACTCTAAAAAACAAGAGGATCCTTGTCTTAAATGGCAAGAGTTTTCAAGTTTACATGAATAACAGAGCTTCCAAATTAGCCCTAGGAGAAGCCCTTTATTTTTAGCTATGGAATAATATTAAAATAAATCAAAGGCAAAATGAGAAAACATAGCTTTTTTTGGAGAGTTGAATATAGGTTACATGAAAAAAAAAAATCAACACATGGGAAAATTAACAGTGGGAACAAGTTCTAACTAGAGAGAATCTGAAATTGTTGACACGCAGAAATTAAAAAAAAAAGAAATTGGTATCCCTGCTTCATAACTAGGATCATTTGTTATGATGCATATATTTATTTCTTTGCCTTCCGAGTTTCAGTCAATTTATTGTTGTTGTCGTTGTTTTCATTTGGAGACTTCTGATTTAAAGAGAAAAAAGAAAGAGTTTGGAATACTGTATAATATGTAAGAGCAGGAATTCAGATAGTTTGTGTTTACTTGTGTTACAAATAGAAGTGGAAATTAACATACACATTTAATAAAACAAATAGAAGTGGTGATTAACATACCACTTTAATAAAATTGTGGCAGCAAAGCCAAAAAAATTTTTAGAACCAATAACCTTATTCTTTCCCTAGAAAAATCTTCTAGTTTATATCTGTATAATCTACTTTATGTTTGTTAATTTTCCACTTTGTGGATTTTTGTTTTATTTTTCCTGCTGCTAATCTTTTGCTCATTTCATAAATATTAGCACCAGTTTCAGAGAGGAGGGCCAAGGGAAACTAAATAAATGCATTTTTCTACTGTGCTTCCTGTTAATCCTGCCCTGAAAAAAAAGTCAGGTACAAAGAAATTTAATACTATTGACTAAAATGATGGTGTTGTTCAGATTAGTCCTATACAGTAAGTTTAGAAAACTCGGACACCTACCGAGGCCTTGCAGGCAAGGTAAATGAGTGCTTGGGACAGTCACTGGTGGGCACTATGGCAACCCTGGGTTAGTACACGCTTTCTCCAAAGGGATTCCAGTCTTCTCATTTAAGCAAAGTAACTGATGGCTGAATTAGGCCCACAGGCAGCCAGTTTACAGTATCTGCATCATTAACCTTGACAATAAAAGATGTATATGGTTAGCCGGCAGAAAAATATAGTTGCTGAAACAATGTATGATATAGTTTCACTCTAGTATACTAATGAAGTTATGAGCTAGTTGACACAAACAGTACCAAATAGTGACAGAAACAAATGATTTAAGCAAACCATAACACACAATTAATAAGTGAAAAATTGAGACCACTGGGTCATGATAATTTATAGGAAAGTAACTTTTGTGTAAAACCTGCCTGAACTTTCGGAGGCTGAGTTGGGCGGATCATCTGAGGTCAGAAGTTCGAGACCAGCCTGATCAACATGGAGAAAACCCATCTCTACTAAAAATACAGAATTAGCCGAGCATGGTGGCACATGCCTGTAGTCCCAGCTACTCGGGAGGCTGAGGCAGGAGAATCGCTTAAACCCAAGAGGCAGAGGTTGTGGTAAGCCAAGATCGCACCATTGCACCCTAGCCTAGGCAACAAGAGTAAAACCCTGTCTCAAAAACAAAACAAAACAAACAAACAAACAAAAATCCTGCCTGAAACTTAAATTGACCCTCCTAAGTGTGTGTTCAGGATCTTTCCTAAAAAGATGCTCAAGAAACACTTTTCATTGTTAAAAGTTATTTTTGAGGACAAAGAGATAAATATTCTCTTTAGGGGTGTGTGTTTATTGTATAAGTTTCTGTAGCTTTCTAATGGAACAGATTATTGGAACAAATCCTAAATAATTTTACATATTTACTGAGAGATTGTTGTTGATTTTCAAGAGGTGATATTTTCTTATGATGCATATATTTACACTTTCATGTTAATTATTTTTGCTTATTATTTTTTTTTTCAGGGAAAATTTCACGGAAATCCAATGCATGTAGCTGTGGTTATTTCAAACTGTTTAAGGGAAGAGAGGAGAATATTGGCTGCAGCCAACATGCCTGTCCAGGTAATATTTTCTGAGATCTTGTTAACACCTTGAACTCAAGTTTTCTGACAGAAATTTTTCTGAAACAGAAATTTTCATCTTTGGCAGGGTACAGTGGCTCACACATGTAATCCTAACACTTTGAGGGATCAAGGTGGCAGGATTACTTGAAGCCAAGCATTTGAGACGAGTCTAGGCAATGTTGTAAGACCCTGTCTCCACACACACACACACACACACACACACACACACACACACACACACAAATAAAAATAAAAATAAAAATTAGCTGGGTATGGTGACACATACCTATAGTCCTAGCTCTGTGGAGGCTGCGACAGGAGGACTACTTGAGCCCAGCAGTTCAAGGCTGCAGTGAGCTATGTTCACATCACGTAATCCACCGTGTCTCTTAGAAAGGAAGAAAGGAAGGGAGGGATGGAGGGAGGGAGGGAGAAATGTTTAAAGAATCTTTCCAGCCTCTTTCACTTATGTTAGTGGTGCCGCCATCCTTCCAGTCACTTGCAATCAAGCTCTTAAGGGTCATCTTTGAGTAGTTCCTTTTCTCCAACCCCATGCTAAGACAATTACCAAGTCTCTCCAGAGTGTATGCCTGGAATCTTATTTATACATCCTTTCCTGTTTGTATCGGCCACACTCTGTTCTAGGGTCCTGCAATATCAGCCTAGGAATACAGTAATCACCTCCAAGCTGAATCCCTGTCATTCCCACTCTGCCTCTCCCTGGATGTTTCTCTCACAGACGGGTCTTGCTCTATACCCTTCCGTAGCTTCCATTTCCTTCCTCCCAGGCTAAACCAGTCCATGAGCAGGAATTTCATCTTACAGAAGCTCCACAAATTCTTGCTTGTTAATTGTGTGAATGTGGGACTCCATGTTTGGGTCCCCTTCCACAAACGTTCCCTTTGTGGAAGCTGTTTTTCTCTATCCTGGATTTCCCCTCTGGAGTCCTCTTCCACACTCTCTCGTGGAAGCCTGTCTTCCCCTCCTAAACACCATCTCTCTCTATTCCCCTCCACTCAGTGTGGAAGCTGCTTTGCTCTCCCGGATTCCATCTTTCTGGATTCTGTCACTCGGTCTGAGAGTTAGCAGTTTCTTTCTCTCTCCTTCTCCTGTTTCTCTCTCTAAATAAATCACTTTCTACAAACACAAACACGAACAAAACAAAACAAAACAAAAAAATTGTGTGAATGTACTTTACCCTAACACATTTTAGATTATATTTTATCCCATTTTCCTGGATGAATTCCGAGTCCTCACTGAAAACAAGCAGAGGAGTCAATGCAATCTTTAATGAATATTCTTTTCAGTTAATCCTTACAAAAAGGAAAGACTACTATGCAAATAATTTTCCACATGACATCCTCCATAATTTAATAAATTATCCATTAGATTTATTTTTGAAAGTCTAACAAAAGTATCTTTTCTTTTTTCTTTTTTCTTGAGACAGAATCTCGTTCTGTCACCCAGCTGGAGTACAGGGGCATGATCTTGGCTCACTGCAGCCTCTGCCTCCCAGGTTCAAGCAATTCTCCTGCCTCCGCCTCCCAAGTAACTTGGATTACAGGCACCTGTCACCATGCCTGGCTAGTTATTGTATTTTTAGTAGAGACAGGGTTTCACCACATGGCCTAGGTTGGTCTCAAACTCCTGACCTCAAGTGATCGTCTCACCTTGGCCTCCCACAGTGCTGGGATTACAGGTGTGAGCCACTGCATGTGGCCAAAAGAGTCTTTTTTTTAACTCTTAAAAATGCTCCTGGTTTGTTATTGTCAGGTTATGGCTGTTTTGGGAGGACTTTGAAGTTGTAACAACTTTGTTTTTTAGATGAAGAAGGATGGTATTATTTTTATTTAATTTTAAAACCATAGCAAGTTTCTAAAGTACATACAGTTGATTCAGCACCTTTGGGGTAAAATTCAAGATACTTTTACAAATATAAGGTATTTTCAGATGTGTCCTCAGCTGTCCTTTTTTGTATGTCTCTTATCTCTAGGTATTCGTCTGTGCACGTGTGTGTGCATGTGCGCGTGTTCTCTTCAAATGTCAGTTATCAGTCAAAACGTTTGTTTGAGTATATGCTCATCAACGTCACTCTGAAAATAATTTGCCAGTACCACTTACTACCACAAAAGAAGCACTGCTCACTAAATTTCAACTAGGTAGACAATGGAGGCTGAAGTGAGAGAAAGAGTATTTTATAAAGGCTTTGCCAGTTGGAAGGGTGTGGTATAGTTGAAGAATATCTGATTAGGAGTCAAGGACATGGGTTCTACTTGAGGTTACTGCACTGAATTTGCTGCGGATTTTAGTTATCAGCCTTTCTAATCGTAGCTCCCCACCCAACTTAAGATTAAGGGGCTGCTTACATCTCTAACTCTCATCTCTAATATTGAAGTTTTTATCTAAGGAACACACTCAGTGTCAGATTATTTAGAGTAGCTAAGACGTTGTGCTTGCAGAAACTGTCTTTCTGCTTAACCAGGATAACATTTTTACATTTTCTTTCATAAACTCCCTTTGTTCTAGAGTAAAAACAAATCTCATCTCAGCAGATTCAACATCCCCAATTCTAAATTTAGGCCCAATTTAATGTAGTTTCATTATACCATTTTAAAAATTACATGTATTGGTTTTATATGATTTCAAAAGTTAGATAGATGTTATAGAGAATTAGAGACAAAATCTTAAAAATCATTGAATTATCTGTAATTGTGATCTCAAATTATCTCTGAATATCACTATTCAGAGACAACACATAGATAAGATTTTGGTGCATATGTTCTTCCACTCATGTGTACTTGAGTTTACATATCTATACATCTATCCATACATTTGCAAGTGTATTTATACACATGCATATACATGTTTGAGCAATATATATCATATATATACTTATATTTATATATGGTGGGGTTTTTTTCTTTCTTTTTTTTTTAGAGACAGAATTTCGTTCTGTTGCCCAGGCTGAAGTGCAGTGACACAATCTCGGCTCACTGCAACCTCCACCTCCTGATTCAAGCAATTCTGCCTCAGCCTCCCAAGTACCTGGGACTACAGGTGCATGCCACCATGCCCAGCTAATTTTTGTACTCAAGTAGAGATGGGGTTTCACCATGTTGCCCAGGCTGGTCTCGAGCTCCTGAGCTCAAGCAATCCACCCACCCCAGCTTCCCAGTTCTAGGATTATAAGTGCGAGCCATTACACCCAGCCTATATATGGTATTTTTATAATCTCCTCTAGTCTTCAAATTTTAACACTTTAAATTTTATTTCATTAAATAGTTTTCTACAGCATGATCTTTTTAATGGCTGCAGAGTATTCATATCACGTTGATCCAGACCTCAGTTCAAATTGTGTGCTGTATGTATTGCATTCATCATAAACCTTTTCAAAACCGGTGAAATTTCAAGACACTCTTTTTCCAGGGGCCTCTAGAGAAATCCTTACAAAATTCTTCAGTTTCAGAAAGACAGAGGAATGTGGAGCACAAAGTGGCTGCCATTAAAAACAGTGTGCAGGTAAGTGACCTTGTACAGATACCTAGGCAGGCTGGCTGCTGTCCCCAAATAACTATGCATCATTCTCTCATGTGCCCAAAGTTAGTGTTTATAGAAGTTATAGGGCAATTTGTTAATAAGATAAATATCTCTCACATACTGTGTTTACATAAGAATATTTCTTTATGGGAAACATTTTAACTTCAACTTGAACTTCTTTGATATGGGGCTATTCAGGTTATCTGTTTGTTCTTGAATGAGCTTAGCCAATTTGTGTTTTTCAAGAAATGTGTCCACTGATCTAAGTTGTTTTACTGGCATAAAGTTGTTCATGTTTATTGTCATTTGAATATCTGTAGAATCTGTAGTAATGGCATATCTCTCATTTAATATAGGTAAATTTTATTTTCTCTCTCTTTTTTTTTTTGAGATGGAGTCTTGCATTGTTGCCAGGCTGGAGTGCAGTGGTGCAATCTCAACTCACTGCAACCTCCACCTCCTGAGTTCAAGCAATTCTTCTGCCTCAGCCTCCCAAATAGCTGGGACTACAGGCTTGCACCACCATGCCCAGCTAATTTTTGTATTTTTAGTAAAGGCAGATTTTCACCATGTTGGCCAGGATGGTCTCGATCTCTTGACCTTCTGATCTGCCCGCCTCAGCCTCCCAAAGTGCTGGGATTATAGGTGTGAGTCTCCGTGCTCAGCTTTGTTTTCTCTTTTTCTCCCTAATCAGTCTATCTAGAGATTTATCAATTTTATTGATCTAGTGAAGATGTCTTAAATAAGACTTTCTGTCTTTAAAATAGGATGTATATAAAATAGGATGTCAATTTCCTTTCAAAAACTTACATAGCATTCATTTCCTTGCCATTTATAAAAATAATAATTCCATAAAAAATAAATAAACTATAAATCCCTGTCCCAGGCTCTGATTCCAGGAAACCTGGCCTGACTTTTAGGCAAAGCAGTGCTTTTCAATCAATGTAATTCCCCCACTTATACCATAACCTCATTTTCTCTATGAAATGTTTGGAATGTAGCTCTCAGATCATTCAGAGAGCTTTTGAAAATTATCACTGGGTATTTTCACCTTTTGGAATTCCTGATGACAATATAATCTAGAAGCCCTTTAATTACTTACCATAGCATTGACTCTTCAGAGTTCTGGCATTAGTTTAATATGCTTTTCATAAATATTTAAAACTGTCCCAAATATTATCTGAATAATGGGCATAGGGTTTAAATTTATTTTCAGACTTTGATTTAGTAATCCTCCATAACAAGTAAAACATGAAAGTGTAGGCTTAACACTGTTGTGAGAAGGAATCAGACAGACGTAGGACAAATACTTGGCACATTATAATGTCAAAACTAAGGACTCTACTCACCCTGTAAGTGTGTAAAGGCAGGAGATTATTATTTTATTATAATAAGAATACTTAAGCATATTAATCAAGTACACAGATGGGTTTTGCATCCAGCACAAATTCCTTTTAACTTCCTGAGGAGTTGGGTGCGGCAGAGGCCCATAGGTTTTGGAGCCCCAACCAGATCTTCACCAGGCCTGCACATGGATTCCCCAGCTGCTATGAGTATTGGCCGTTAATGGCTTTTCTGGAGAATTGCCTCTATGAGGAGACTGGCTGCCTTCAGACAATGACTAAGTGACACGGGGTTGTGGGGAAAGAGGACAGACCCCTTGCCTCAAGTTGAGGTTAACCTGTGGTGCAGGCTATGCTCCTGGGTTTCTCAAACCAAAGTTTGACTTAAATGAAAACTACATGCTCACTTAGCTTCATCCCCTTCCCTTTCCCTGTCTTGTACGTCCTTTCTGCTAAGAGGACTCCTTCAACAAATCCTATGTACCTGATCCCTGTCCCACGCTCTGATTCCAGGAAACCTGGCCTGACTTTTAGGCAAAGCAGTGCTTTTCAATCAATGTAATTCCCTCATTTATACCATAACCTCATTTTCTCTATGGAATGTTTGCAATATAGCTCTCAGATCATTCAGAGAGCTTTTGAAGATTATCACTGGGTATTTTCACCTTTTGCAATTACTGATGACAATATAATCTGGAAGCCCTTTAATTACTTACCATAGCATTGACTCTTCAGAGTTCTGGCATTAGTTTAATATGCTTTTCATTAGAAGATTCTGCAAGATAGTGCCTTCTTTCAGCTTTTAATTAATTTTGAGATCAAAAGATGGAACCACAGTATATCTCTGCTTTAAAACGATATTTTATTTTGGTTCATTTTCTCATGCGTGTGGGTTCCATGACTTTAGTAGCCCAGAGTCTTCCATGGGACTTTATTCTGCAGAAACTTAGCATCAAAGTGAAATGCTACAAGTCGTACTGGGGTATAGTGAAAAGAAGGAGTAAAGACCGAAGCTAGACCGACCAGATTAGATTTGAATTCTCGCTTGAGCATGTATTATTGTATGACTTTCAGCCTTAGTTTCCTCACATAAAAAATGAAAATAGTTTACTTTGCAGGTTGCTGAAAGGATAATATATGTAAGGTATAGGCACAGCACAGGCTGCTCAAAATTGGTAGCTGTTATTACTTTGGATGGGTAGACAGTATATCATGTAGTCAATAGCTATTACTTTGTTTCTTTTCTAAGGCTTATAAATATAAAGAATGTCATTAACAGAGTGAGATAACAAACAGGGATTAGAAGATTAGAATAGCTACTGCTTATGAAGCATATATTTGGTACCAGGCACTGTTTTAAGCAGTGGAACTCATGTATCCTTATAACAACTCCTTGAGGTAGATACTGTTAGCCTCCTTCCTCCCCCCACCCCCACAAGCCTTTTTACAGGCAAAGAAGCTAAAATGCAAAGACATTTGTCCAAGTCCATGCAGCTAATAAATCATAGAGTTGGAATACAAATTCAGATTCTCTTACTCCAAATTCTACACTTTTTGTAACCAACAAGTTAAAATTTGGACTAAATTTAATTCTGATTAAAATTTAAAATTTGTGATGAAAGCACTGTTGTGGTAGATACATGTTTCCTTAGAGAAGACTTCTTGGAATCAGCAGGCAGTAGAAAGTTTGACTTTTCTGAGAAGAAAAGGAAGTAAAGTAGCCTGAATCTAGGAAGCACAGCAAGTCTATCTTTGGTTAAGGGAGGGGTCAGGGGTAGACTGCTGGACTTCCCACAAACTTCTCACTGAACACCTGAGTGATGAGTGAGTTACTTCACATCTCGTAGCCTCTGCTTCTTCCTCTGTAAAAGTGAGGCTAACCCATTTCATGGGTGTTGTGAGGACTGCAGGAGGTAACATGTAAAAAGCCTTTAGCCCAGATCTTGACATTTACTATTATATCTGAGCAGGAAACTATCACCAGGTTTGGAGAAAAGTAAAGTAAAAATCTTAAAGACAGAATAACAGGAGACACAGAAGAAACACAGGCATATTTCAGGAAATTTAAAAAAAAAGTATTTAAGCTGAATTGTCATAAACTACAGCATATTTAAATGAAGACTTAAGCAAAAAGTGCTAATTGATACATTAGTACAGAGTTATATGAAATACCCAAGACTTCTAAAAGGGCAAAAATATTCATATTCTCCAATTTAAAAAGATTATATGCATAGCATCATTTGGAACTAATTAAGAAATGAGCAAGTAGATGCTGAAAGACTTCCAGGCAAGCAGAAAGAGAGAATAGCTGGAAAGGCAAGTTCAATCTGGTTCTTTTAGCATTATTCAACTTTCATATGACTTAGCTCTTCAAAAGCGTGGATTCGTTACTGTCTTTGGTTGTTGTTGAATACTGGAAGCACCAAACAGTGTTTTTAAATACTTATGATGTTGTTTGATTGACATGCTTAATTGTAACAGCTGAGTGAGTAAATTTTCTTTTGTGAAAAGATGACAGAACAAGATACCAAATACTTAGAAGACCTGCAAGATGAATTTGACTACAGGTATAAAACAATTCAGACAATGGGTAAGTTTTTGGTTTTTCTATAATTCTGCATAGGGACAAAAAGGCAGTTTGAGTAGAGTTTTTTTCACTGACAGAGTTGGTAAATTTGATCTACTTCCTTAGGTAAGCCTAGGGAAATACAGGGAGTATTTTCTTGTTTTGCTTTTTCCTTCTTTCTGCATATAAATATGTGTGTGTGTGTGTGTGTGTGTGTATTAATAGATATACAACCAATTCTGAGTAAATTACCAGCAAATTCAATGTAAATTTCAAACTGCATGAGGAATTACCCAACTTCAGCATACATCTCTAAAAAATAAAAACCTTCTCCTATATAGAATCAAAATATAATTATTACAAAACCAAAAATAATAATAATTGCCTAACATAATCAGAGAATTACTAATATAATCCCTAAGTAGTATTTTAATACCATTTTCTAGGATTATACAATAGAAATGTGTTTCATAGAAGAAAGCATGGAAAATAGATGAAAGCATTAAAAAATAAAAATCTGATGAAATCTCACTATCTACAGATAACTACTGCTAAAATATATTCCTTCCAGTCTTTTGTCTGTATGTTCACATACATACACATCTATGTATTTATTTTCAAAAAATGAAATCAGGTTGTATATAATTTTGTGTACTGCATTTAAAGTTTTATTTTTAAGTATTTCCTCATGTCAAGAAGTCTCTAAAAACATAATTTCAGTAATTGCATAAATGGCAAAAGGTAAGGACACTGCAATTTATTTTACTATTTTTCTATAGTTAAACACTGAAGTTGTTTACAACTAGGTGTTTTTTAAAAAATGAAGGGAAAGAGAATGTTTACAAGACCTAAGATTTACAAATAATAATAGATGAATAGTTTATAGTATGTTGCAATTAATGGGACAATTGACAAAATTCTAATTAGGTCTAGTTTAGTTGATGGAATGGCACTGATGTTAATTTACTTGTTTTTATCATTATGCTTACTATTTTTATGTAAGAGAATAAAAAATCTAGGTGAAGGATATATGAGAACTCTGTACTAGTTGTGCAACTTTTTTGTATCTCTAAAATTATTTCAAAATAATTTTAAAAATTAGATATAAACTTTTCATTTGAAGAATTATCTTTGACTATTAAAATGTTGACTTAAAATGTATCTTGAAGAAAGTATGAGTGATTGTGATCAAACATTTAACTTTTCATACTTGAAGATGAAGTGTTTAGGTTCTTCTCCTGATATGCTGAAGATGCCTTGCATTCCAGGAAGTATTATTCAAAATCTTCACAATTATTTGTACATACAACTTTTCCATTCAGAAGAAATGGCACAAACATGGGTTTCATTATCAAAGGGGGAGTCCATGACCCTAAAGGGTTTAGAACAACTATAAATTTGCAGCCTTATTCCAAATTTTCTATGCAAACTACTAATTTTAAGAATTAGAATATTTTAACTTAATTTGTTATGATTTGAGTCACTTTTTCAGTGCTTCCTGTACATTATGAATTAAAATGATCATTTTTATCACCTAAATCCACAAATATTTATTTTGTTTGTTCCATCCTGTTATAAGTGAAAAGAAAAATACAAGGGAAACAAGTTATTGTATCCTTGGTGAAGATGAGAAAGGTTAGCTGAAGAAGTTTTCAGTTGCCAAAATGCTGTGTAAGCAAGATTTTGCTATGTATGGGATCTAGGAGTTAGTGAATTTGTGAATTATTACAACCAAAAATGAGTTCCTAGAGATTAGTCCTGTTTTGTAGAGAAATTTGCCACACTATTGTTCTGGGTCCTCCTTTTCACAATTACACAAGTCAAATCAGCATTCCCAGTCCTCATTTTTCATGAACATGAATGGTTGGTATAAACATTCACTTGCCATTGTAGGAGCAAAAAGGGAACCTTCCCCCTTCACCCTCTGATTGAATATGGACTAATAAAAGGTAGATCAATAACAGAAAAGGGCACATAAATTTAACATGCACAGGATGGGAGAAGAGCAGGAGAATACCCATAATCCAATGGGGTACAGATGGTTTTATGCCCTGATTTTTAAAGTTAATGAATGGACCCAGTGCCCAGGTGGTAGTTAGTAAATAATTCTCTTGAGTAATTGACTGGAACCTAAGAACAAACAATGGTTTGAGACAAAGTTTGGGCTCTAGGTGTGGTGTTTAATTTTCAGACTTTTCCTTTGTGATATGAATATTAACCTTCTCTAGCTAATGAAATTTCAGGAAATGGATCAAAGGCAATTGTGTTCCTCTTAAGGGTCCAGTTTCTAGGCAGATCAGGGAGCTTCTGAGCACTTCATCTGTGCTATGGAGAGACAGAGGATTGAAAGAGACCTTGAGGCTGCTGCTTATTTTGGGGCGTCATTTTCTGAGCCCACCACTATGTCAATAAAGTTTATTTTGGGGTGTCATTTTCTGAGTCTCACCACTATGTTAACAAAGTTTAATGTTCAAATTAAATAATATAATGTTTATTTATTGCATGTATTTCCATGTAAAAAAGGATAAACCTTTTTTTTTTTGTCAGTCAGATATTTTTCTTAGTTACAACTCTGGCCCACTGCTAATTTTATGATGAGGCTAGCTCATTTTGAAAATAAAAGTGGGGGAAAGTAAAGAACTTAGTCTTTATTAGTTCATGAGACTACATAGACAAGACTGTAACTCTACCAGGCAGTTTCTCATAACTCCTGCATATGAAACAGGGCAGGAGGGGTAGGTGAAGGCAACAGAGAGTCAAATATAATTTAATCATGGGCACAAGGGGAGATCCTCACCTTCCTTACTTTTACCAAACAACCAAGTACATTAATAATGTAAAGGTTTCCAGTAAGGAATCCATTACGGCAGCTTTATCTCCTCCATGCACCACCACCAAAACAAAACACCAAGTGAAGTTTTGTTCTGTCTATAATAGTTCATTTACAGACCTTCAAAATCTTTCCTGAAGGTCTGTAAAATAAAGAGGTCCTTTTCTGCATGCTTGGATGTAATTCTTCCTGGCAAAATGAGCGGAGACTTCCAAGCTCACCTCTAGTGAGCCCAATTAGTCTCTTACCACGTAAGTTCTCCGGGCCAGGGCTGTTTTAGGGTGGCGGATTGAGGCTGACTTGACTTTCAGGAATAGAGAGTTCTGACTTAGAGAGGACTCTAAATCTGATCTCTTTACCTTTGCAGATCAGAGTGACAAGAATAGTGCCATGATGAATCAGGAAGTTTTGACACTGCAGGAAATGCTTAACAGCCTCGATTTCAAGAGAAAGGTTAGTGAAGAATTTTAATTTTGACTTTTGCCTATTTTTCTCCTTTTTCTAAACTTAGTCCAACCGAAAAGAATCAAGCTGTCAGATTTTATCAGTTCCATTTACTGAGTGAAAAAACGGCAAGGTTTCTAGGAACAGTCCCACACTGTTTGCCCTGCTTCTCTTCATGAATTACAACCCTGGACCTCTTTAGAGCTTATTGATCTTGCTTATGTGATACATTTACTGTAGTTAACATTAATTTCAAGGTGAAAATTTTACCCAATTTTTATTTATCATTATTCCAGACATGTCTGTTTTAATTGCTATACCTAATATGCTGAGATGGGTTCCACTGCACATATATAATTAAAATAGTATTTGATGACTACTAAAATTTTATTGGAAAAATAAGTGTTCTGGTTTGTACTCTGAGAAATGACGTAGTGGTAAACAATTTACTAAAGTTCAGAATAGCTCATTTTTGGCATCTGAACATATTCAACCTAGCTTCTTCCAAGGAGAGCAAGAAATTTTTTCTGGTTTAATGACATATTTTTAAGGAGGGGGAACATCTCTGTTTCACTTTTCTACATCTCTTGGAAAATAAATGCAATTGAAATTTAACCAGTCATTGATAAATCTATAGTTCATTTCTAAAAGTTTGGCTCAATTTTTTTTGTGCAGGAATTTGTGTGAGCACAAACAAGCATAACATTTATCTTCACCCTAAATTAATTATAAACTTAGTTACATATCAGATTTTAAGCATGCAAGTAGTTAATCCAAGAAAAAATTTAATGTTTTTATGCATAATAAATCTATGCTATATGTTTTTATGCATGCCATCTTATTCTACTTTAGGAATAAAATTTTAAAAAGAAAAGGAACATTGACAATAATTCAGTTCACTCAATTGGTTGTATAAATGAGAATACCAAATTTCAGCAAAGCTAAATACTTTATTTGCATTTGTATGGCTTACAATAATGCCAAAACAGAAATTAATATCTTCTAACCCCTAGGCCTTTAAAAGTTATAATTCTTGGTCGGGTACGGTGGCTCACACCTGTTATCCCAGCACTTTGGGAGACCGAGGTGGGCAGATCATGAGGTTGGGAGTTCAAGACCAGCCTGACCAATATGGTGAAACCCCGTCTCTACTAAAAATACAAAAATTAGTTTAGCATGGTTGTGTACACCTGTAGTCCCAGATACTCAGGAGGCTGAGGCAGGAGAATCACTTTGAACCCAGGAGGTGGAGGTTACAGTGAGCCAAGATCGTGGCACTGCACTCCAGCCTGGGTGACAGAGTGAGACTCCATCTCAAAAAAAAAAAAAAAAAAAAGTTATAATTCTCCATTATGCCTCCCAAAACCCAGAAAAAATCCTAATAAAAATTAACACAGAAAGGCTCAAGTTTTAATCAGCTCATTTTAATATAAATGGATAACCATCTTTATTAAAAATGAATATATAAATATCCTTTTAATAAGCAACTATACAGTTTTATGACTATAAGATTCAATATTGGTACCACAGGAGTTACAAATTCAATATATTTATCCTGACACACATGATGAGAATGTTAAACTGTGGTCATTCTTTTTTTCTCATGACATCTTTTATTTTCAATAATGTAATTGTTTGAAGAGGCCTGGCAAATAGAAGCTAGTATTTGGTGAAATATTTGGTCAAAATTTTAACTAAGCCTTTGTCTACCAGGCGAAATTTGTAAATTGAATTCTAAGTGACTTGTTTCTTATGAAACGCTCTTCAGTTGTCCCCTTTGTTTTCAGGAGGCTCTCAGTAAGATGACCCAAATCATCCATGAGACCGACCTGTTAATGAACAACATGCTCATCGAAGAGCTGCAGGACTGGAAGCGGCGGCAGCAGATCGCCTGCATCGGGGGTCCGCTCCACAACGTGCTCAACCAGCTGCAGAACTGGTAAAATGAACTGGCTGCAGTTTCTAGTGAAAACCACAGGAAATAAAAACTTCAGTGTCACTCAGCCAGAGAATGCAGGTTTAGACTGGAACATCAGTTCATTCAGCTTATTAGCAGCTGCGAACTCTATAGCTGAAAACAAATAGTATAAGTGTTCTTAGTTTTTATTCTCGTGGGGAAAATAAAAGAAAGCATGTATTGAATGCTTAATTTTCACATGTAAGATATCAATCTTAAAAGACTTGAATAAATTTTAAAACCAGCGATATGCTTTCTTTAAGGACATGATAAAGAAGCACTAGCTTCAAAATCTTGAAAATAGGGATCTCAACTTTCATATATTAGTTTTGTGTTTTCAACAGAGTGATTTGCTTGGTTACAGATGTTGGTTAAAGCATAGGAAATTTCAGTTAGGCAGGAGGAATAAGTTCAAGAGATCCATTGTACAGCATGGTGACTGACTGTAGTTAATCACAATTTATTGTATACTTGAAAATTACTAAGAAAGTAGATCTTAAGGGTTCCTACCACAGAAAAGTAGATATGTGAAGTAATAATGCATGTTATTTATCTTGATGTAACTATTCAACAATGTATACCTACATCAAAATATCATGTTGTATATCACAAGTATATACAATTTTTATGTGTCAAGTTTTAAAACCGTAAATGGTTAGTACAACCCACCATTCCCCATCTATGTACGCAAACATGCAATGAAATGTACATACTATACTTTGCATTAGAAGATTAAAATATTCATAGGATTTTCCATGTCACAAATTCAGAACAAAACTATTTGATTGAAAGAACAATTGGAAAATATGAAATACAAAGAAACTGTTCAGTTTAAATCTAAAATTGTTCAAAGTAACTGGGGACCCCCTAACTAAAAGCTCTGCCCTACCAGGCCTACTTATCAAGAAATGTAAGGAGTTTGGCTCATTTTAAAACATTGATTTTCCTTGGGAAGATACTTTGATTCTTTAACTCACTGTACTCTGTTGTGAAAACAATAATAAAGGGAGTCATTAAGAGTTTAATCAGTAATGGTGCTCATACCAAAAATCAGCACGTATTCAACCACTCTTGTCATAGTCTTACATGTGGAATACTTTAAGTAGAAAGAGTTGCTGTAGGGTGAAGTGGACTTTCCAAGTCTGTTAAGACGTTATGCCTCCTGTAGCTGGCAGTCCCTTCCATGTCCATTTCAATGTTACTCTTCCCTAGGCTTCTGGCCCACACTACCACCTCCATTTCTGAGGTGAGAGCACCATGTCGTGAATAAAATTCCAAGAAGATATCAAGAGCAAGCATTTCTAAATATACCTCACTCTAAAGAGAGTCATTGATCACTCTTGGCTAATACTTAGGACAATAAAATATATATTGTGGGGGAAGATCTGTTTCATATGTTTTTCTTTCAGTATGCTTACATAAAAAAATTAATCATCTCATGTATTTTATGGCTTTAAATTTGCTTTTTCTTTGCCCTTTAGTGAGTGCCATAGTTTAACATCTATATACTTAATAAGCTTAAACAAAGAGTAATTAGGCCAGGCGCGGTGGCTAACGCCTGTAATCCCAGCACTTTGGGAGGCCGAGGCAGGTAGATCACGAGGTCAAGAGATCGAGACCATCCTGGTCAACATGGTGAAACCCTGTCTCTACTAAAAATACAAAAAATCAGCTGGGCATGGTGGTGCGTGCCTGTAATCCCAGCTACTCAGGAGGCTGAGGCAGGAGAATTGCCTGAACCCAGGAGGCGGAGGTTGCAGTGAGCCGAGATCGCGCCATTGCACTCCAGCCTGGGTAACAAGAGCGAAACTCCGTCTCAAAAAAAAAAAAAAAGAGTAATTAAAAGGGATTTGGTTCCAGATGTTGATAAAATCTCATAAACGATGACATATCTAATTGAAGGTATAAATGAGAAAACATTGAAAATGTTTAACATATGCATATTCAAGAAAAAAATGGGTTAGGAAAATAAAAATAAAGAACTGTCACTAACAAATCAAATTGATTCATTTAATTAATTTAAATAAGTACTTAATAATTTAACATTTGTTAACTATGACCCATTGTTACAATGTTTTACTAATAAGTGGAAAAATTATTTTTGATTTTCATTTGCTGTTCAATAGCTTTACACTATTGGCAGAAAGTCTTTTCCAACTCAGAAGGCAGTTGGAGAAACTAGAGGAGCAATCTACCAAAATGACATATGAAGGTGATCCCATTCCGATGCAAAGAACTCACATGCTAGAAAGAGTCACCTTCTTGATCTACAACCTTTTCAAGAAGTAAGTGAAGTGCTATAAATTTCAGTGCTTCCTGGCATCCTCCATCCCGTGAAGTAAGAACACCCTGCCTAAGGTTTTAGTGTTAGGTGAAAAAGTGGCAGGGATGTATTCAACAACGAGCCTCAGGGAGAAATGAATAGAAGCCCAAAAAGTTTCAGAAATCACATTTCTACTCTTCACTGTTTATTCATCAATACTTCTCTCACCAACTGGCTCGGTTTTCTACAAACTAAGCCATGTCACTCACCTACAGCTCAGTTTTTACATTTTAGAAAAGATTTCAAGGGTTTTTTCTTACATGCATATCCATGAAATGAAGGATGGAGAACATGTTCATGTTTATGAGCTATTCTAAAGAAAAAATACTAATATGTACCAGAAATCCTAATATTTAGTCCAAAAAAGTCATGAAATTTATTCTCAGTCAAGGAAGGTGCCTCACACCTGTAATTCCAGCACTTTGGGAGGCTGAGACAGGAGGTTGCTTGAGCTCAGGAGTTTGAGACCACCCTGGACAACACAGAAAGACCCCCATCTCTACGAAAAATAAACAAATTATCCAGGCATGGTGGCACATGCCTATAGTCCTAGATACTCAGCAGGCCAAGGCAGGAGGATCACTTGAGCCCATGAGGTCAAGGCTGCAGTGAGCTATGATCACGCCACTGCACTTCAGCCTGGGCAACAGAGAGAGAGAGAGAGACCCTTTTCAAAAGAAAAAAAAAATCACTAAATGGACTGGGGCTTTTATTTATGGCTCAATTATAACAATTAAGGATCATTTACTGCTGTTCAATGATTTATGAAAAGTCATTGTAAAGATTTAATTGGGGGTTTGAATATCTTCTAAATGTAGAAAACTTGGACTTTATGAGTGGATAGCATCCTGTTCCTCTGTGGTTTTCAGTCTGCCGATATTTTCAATGTTTTCAAATAACACGCTTTATTTCCTTTTTATCTAGCTCATTTGTGGTTGAGCGACAGCCATGTATGCCAACCCACCCTCAGAGGCCGTTGGTACTTAAAACCCTAATTCAGTTCACTGTAAAACTAAGGTAGGCAGAATGTCTTCTACTATTTCATGCGTTTGTGGAGCTATAGTTTCTGGGTAATTAAGGCCAGTTTCTCTCACTGTGGCTTGCATTCAGCTATTCTTTATTGAATCATCTGTTGTGTGCCGGCTCTGAGCCTTAGGAAATACCCACAGAAATGTTAAGATGAGAGTCCTGCTTGTCAAGAGCATGACAGTGCGGATGAGGACATGAGGGATATTAGCCTGAAAGTATGGAATCATACTATCAGGCACGATGAAATGAATTACTGAAAAGGTTGACTTGAGAAAAGACTGGAGAGATTGATCACCCAGAGTATTGTAGGAGAGGAAGAGTACAGAAATAATGGCTTCCTGGGTCTGTCTGGTAATCATGAGGGTCAGGGAGAGACAGAACTGAGAGGACAGACTGGGGAAAGATTCTGGAAGGCTTTGAATATCCTATCCAGGAAATGCAGTGGCATATTCATCTCCTGTGATTACCCAGTAACTGGCTTATTGGACTTTTCCACAAAAACTCTCAAAACCACAGTTTTCCATATATCTCTATTGTGTCCCTGAGTTAAAGACATATCTTTTGTGTTATTGTTGCTTGCTTTCTCTGTGAATTTGTTCCTTTTTATTAACATGAGCAATCAAAACTTACAGTTGTCCCTAATGATGCTGAGAACAATGAGTTTGAGTTCTTACTTTCAAAGATTCTCATCATGCCTCAAACTCCAAGAACTAAAGCTTTAAATGCTCAATCTCTAGGTCACCTCTGGAAAACTGAAACCACAGACTAACACATCAAGAGGGGATGATGCCATGATACAGAGCAATTTAGGGTTCTATGATGGGGTTGCTGATCATATGTCACTTGGAACTCCATTTTTAAAAAGAAGACATTTGTCTTCAGTTTGCTTTTTTAAGACACTGATTAAAATTCTTAATCAGTTTCTTTGTGTGAATTTTGCACCAAGATTTAAGAACTGAAAACAAAAGGCAGAGACTAGGTTCCTTTTTAAGTTACATTGTTGGCCAGGCATGGTGGCTCATGCCTATAATTCCAACATTTTGGGAGGCTGAGGAAGGCAGATCACCTGAGGTCAGGAGTTCAAGACCAGCCTGGCCAGCATGGCAAAACCCCTTCTCTACTAAAAACAGAAAAATTATCTGAGAATGTCGGTGCATGCCTGTAATCCCAGCTACTCAGGAGGTTGAGGCACAAGAATCGCTTGAACCTGGGAGGCAGAGATTACAGAGAGCGGAGATCATACCACTACACTCCAGCCTGGGTGACAGAGCAAGACTCCGTCTCAAAAAAATAAAATAAAATAATAAAGTAAAATAAAATAAAATAGGAATTATCAAAAGTTGTTCATTCTTCATTCCCACATCTCTATATAACTCGGAGGAGAGTGACAATAAAGGGAACTAGGTTGGAGAAGTGGTGGACATTCTACTTTTCCTTGAGACACTCCTATAGATGATATAGTAAGTCTAAGATGCTCTCGGGGGCAAAAGGGGAGATGAGTAGGGACTCCCTAGCAAAAAAATTAAGCAGCATCACTTGCATGCTGTGTGAACTGATTGCCAGAGGCATAGAATTTTAGTCCCTCATTGTAAGTTCTGTCTTCCTCATCTACCTACTGCGTCTCCATCCTCCTCTACACATTGTTACCCACCATCTTGATAGGTGATCCTTAATCAAGGTTTTCCTAAAACCCCTCTTTGCCATACCATTGCATCCTCTTGTTTCAAAGGAAAGGATGAGCTTGGACTTAGTGGGACTCATCAGCATCTTATAGTGAATCAGATCCTTCCTGAAGTAGTATAAAAAGGAAGGTGGAGGAGAAAAACATCTGGCCTTATTTTATATGACTATGCCCCCTTCTCACCATTCATTACCAATGGCTGCACACTCAGCATACTCCAAACCCTGAACCAATCTTGTGCCTTGTACAGGACTTTCAACATTTTGCAACATTCAACCCACCCTTTTGTTTGGGCTGCCTATGAGCTATGATTTCATTTCTCTAATGCCAGTGAGTTGCTTATCACCATATTCTCTATATTCCATCTATGTGCCTGTACTCCCTCCTTTCATGTAGAGCACATTTCTCCCTCCTGCAATCTTTGCTACACCAGTTCTCTGGTACCTAAGGCTGTACTGGGCAAATATGAGGAGCTCAGTGCATGCTGAGTGAATGAGCAAAGTTTAGGATGAGGGCATGAGTAAATGAATGAATGTGTGAGAGGCTGAATGACTATCTCTGAAACTGCACTGAACCCACAGGTAGGTTACATCACAGGACAGAAATCTGAGGAGTTAGAGAAAGCAAAAGAATAACGGATGGGCTGACACAGAAGGAATTAAAGAAACTTTTATATTGAACTTCAATTACTTTTTCATTTGAAGTTGGTTTTTTAATGAACATTTTTGCTGTTATTTTAATATAGTGTTTTGAAAGATTTCAAATGCATTGGAATTGGGATTTTCCATATTTTACTAGAGGTCTGACTTAGTAGAGTCACCATAAAATACTCATCATCAACACTTACAAAGTGTTTTTTTTTTTGTAATATGAGGATAAAATTAAGCCATATAAGAAATTTTTATATCTATACATTTAACTCAGATTTGGGCTTCAGCCAAAATATAAGCTTTTTTTTCTGACCCAGCCAATGTATTATCCAGCAAACATCAACTGAAGCAATATGGAAACACTTTCCAAATGTTTGTCAATAATGCTATTATGTGACTGATGTCAACGTTAGTAACATGGCAAACTGAAGGGGCATTGTACATTCTTAAAACATACTATCATATAACTGTGGATAATGTAAGGTTTATTTATATGCATATTCCATAAGTATGTTTAAATGTTTAAATATAAAAAAGAGTTTTAAAACACTTTCAATTTTTATCTTTTTTTTTTTTTTTATTGATATCTCTTTTCAGACTACTAATAAAATTACCAGAACTAAACTATCAGGTAAAGGTTAAAGCATCAATTGACAAGTAAGTTTTCCAATATCATTTTGAATTGTGAAAGACTATTTAAAATGAATGACCCTTATTTTATAGAATAATTTTGATCTTTTAAATTTACTTATCTAACAATGTACTTCAAATATTTGACTTTGAAGTTCAAGCATTTAACAAAGCTCAATGTTTAACTTTAAATTTTTATTATAAAAACTTCAAATCAATTTTATCTACTATCCTTTAAAGTATCATGGAGGTCAGGTGTGGTGGTTCATGCTTGTAGTCCCAGCTACTCAGGAGGCTGAGGCAGGAGAATCACTTGAACCTGGGAGGCAGAGGTTGTGGTGAGCCAAGATCGTGCCACTGCACTCCAGCCTGGGTGACAGAGCGAGACTCTGTCTCCAAATAAATACGTAAATAAATAAATAAAGTATCATAGAAAGTTGTTCCTAGATCTATTACATAGCTCATTTTAAAGAATCTTCTTGGTTTTACAGGAATGTTTCAACTCTAAGGTAAGACATTTATTTTGTGGAATCTTTATTGCTGCTCTGTTTTACCTGAGACCATGTAAATAGCTAAGATTTCCTCTCCAGCAACCGAAGATTTGTACTTTGTGGAACTAATGTCAAAGCCATGTCTATTGAAGAATCTTCCAATGGGAGTCTCTCGGTAGAATTTCGACATTTGGTAAGTTTAGCAGTAAAGTTACACAGGCTTTTTTTCTCCAAATCAGAGACATCTTTACTAAGAGGTCTTGTAACAGTATATTCTGTGCTTAAATATTTCTTATTTCAAATTAGAAACTGGCCGGGCATGGTGGCTTGCAATCACAGCACTTTGGGAGGTGGAGGCGGGCGGTTCACCAGGTCAGGATGCCGCAACCTCCGCCACCTGGTCAACATAGTGAAACCCCGTCTCTACTAAAAAGACAAAAAAATTAGCCGGTCGTGGTGATGGGTGCCTGTAGTCCCGCTACTCAGGAGCCTGAGGCAGGAGAATCGCTTGAACCCGGGAGGCGGGGGTTGCATGAGCTGAGATCGCACCGTTGCACTCCAGCCCGGACGACAGGGCAAGACTCCGTTTCAAAAAAAAAAAAGAAAAGAAATCAGGAACCATGTTGAGAAATAAAACACACCATCAGTGAAGAAATGGTAGAAAGAACACTGAACCTTTACTCAGAAGGTCTGAGTTATAAGCAATGAAGACATAGAACCTAAGCATGCATAGGACTTGGTCAGTATATTTTGCTGATAAGGACAGAGATAATCTGTCTTAAAATGGAGAGATATTACACAGTGGAATATTATTCAGCCATTGAGAGAACGAAACCGTGTCATATGCATCAACATGGATGGAACTGGAGGTCATTATGGTAAATGAAATAAACCAGGCATAGAAAGATAAATATTGCATGTTCTCACTCATGTGGGAACTAAAAAAGCAGATCTCTTGGAGGCAGATAGTAGAATGGTGGTTACCACAGGCTAGGAAACGAAGTAGGGCAGGGGAATAAAGAGAAGTCAGTTAATGGGTACAAAGATACAGTTAGACAGAAGAAATAAATTCCAGTATTCCATAGTGCAGTAGGGGCCAAGTGCAGTGGCTCACACTTGTAATCCCAGCACTTTGGGAGGCAGAGGCAGGCAGATCACCTGAGGTCAGGAGTTCGAGACCAGTCTGGCCAATATGGTGAAATCCCATCTCTACTAAAAACACAAAAATTAGCTGGGCGTGGTGACGCGTGCCTGTAATCTCAGCTACTTGGGAGGCTGAGGCAGGAGAATTGCTTGAACCTGGGAGGTGAATGTTGCAGTGAGCTGAAATTGTGCCACTGCACTCCAACCTGGGTGACAAAGCAAGACTCAAAATAAAAAAAAAAAAAAAATAGTATAGAAGCGAATAATAATTTATTGTATATTTTTAAATAGCAGGAAGAAAAGAATTGTAGTGGTCCCAACACAAAGAAAATATAAATTATGTTATAAATATCCCAGTTACCCTGATTTGATTATTATACATTGTATACATGTATCAAAATATCACATGTACCACAAAAATATGTACAACAATGATATATAAATATAAAAGTACAAAGGCACACACACACATGCAATAATGGATAGGCATTCCTGGTTTCATTTTTATATCTCCGATAATCATGTCTGGTGAAAAGTGCTTTCATTTTAGGAGGCTAGCTTGGGGAAATAGGATGCTCCTGCGTATAGCAACTGTAAATAGTTCACCTTGGCATGTCTAGAAAGCTCTGACCCAGCCTCATCCTGTTGCTTCTTGTTTTTACCACTTCCTCTTGACCTAGAGTTCTCTTCCTGCCGCCTTTCTGACTCTTTGCATAGTTCTTAGATTCCCAAAGACCTTACTGCTTTTCTTGCCAGAAACCACGTTACTCCTCCTGCTTATTAATGTTTAGCAATTGCCTCACTGAATGTTTGGGCACCATTGAATCTGCCTCAAAAAGTCTACTTTCTAAAAGATAAAATGTAGCTTAACAGAAAGATATCTGCATATGTAAATTTATTCTGATTTCTGGTTTTGATTTTGTTTTTGTTTGGTTTTTAGTATTGAGGAGTATGGTTTTGTTTTTGCTTTTTTTTTTTTTTTTTAAAATGAATCCTTCCTGTGTGAACTGCCAAATAAATAAAATGTAATGAAGAACAATGTATTATAGACATCCTTGTGACTCACACTCTATTTTGTTAGGCTCGATTCCTACCCTCCAGGAACTTTCAACAGGGGGCCATGTTTAGTAATAAGTAAAGTAGGAAGAGCTTAACTTAGAAATGTCTGTCTCCCAAAAAAGTCACATGGAAAAGGGAGAACAAGGAACACACCAAAAATCAGTGAGGTCTTTATTTTGGCAGGCACAATATGTAAAATAACAAAACCTCAGCTTTTACAGTGCTTTTTTGCTCTTCCAAAGCATTTTCACATTTATTTTACGCATAAAACTTTAATTCCTTTTTAATACAAAATAAATATAGAAAATAAAAGTCAAATATTTTAAAATTATAACCTGTAATTTCACCACCTTGCAATGCTATTAACATCTTTGTTTTTTATAACTTTGTCCTTTTTTCTAAAATATTTATATATATTTTTAAAGTGGGATCAAATAATACACACTATATTATTTGTTTTCTGCCTCTTTTCTTCATTCAGTAATCTATATCAGTGCACGTTTATTTTGTGTCAGTGAGTCTTCTTCCTCTCCAGTGTCATTTAATGGCTTACTATGCTATATGGTACACTCTGACCTATCGTTTATTTTTCTAGTCCTCTCTGTTAGACTTGGTTTCTCAAGGACTGGGAATCATCACCCATAGCTTAGCCAAAATGATTCTTTTCCGGCACAAACGAGTGCTGTATGGATTCTGAAAGTTCTCAGCATGATCTCTTTTCTTGAAAATGTTGGCTGAAAGCTAAAGTCTTAGTGATAAGCCAACTCAAGCTTCTAAAGTGGCATCCCATGGGGTGAGACAGGAAGCTCCTCTCTCTTAAATCTGGGCAGTTGTGTCAGGTTTCAATGAGTTTGAAAATATGTTGCTGTTCTAGAAGTCAAAACTGTGACCAACAAAACGACAGCAACAGGTACGACCAATTTAATATGTAGCTGATAATGCTTCTCCATCTAAATATTGTTGTTTTCTTTTACAAAGCAACCAAAGGAAATGAAGTCCAGTGCTGGAGGTAAAGGAAATGAGGTAGGAAATGTTTTCTCCTATAGAATTTTTCTGGGAACAGATCTTATAATATCTTATTTTTACAAAGCTTTTAAACTGCTTGACTTCACATAAAATCAAATTCATGTTTTTCTGATTGTAGATGTAAAGCTTGATAATTGCAGAAAATATGCGGAAGTTCTTTTAAAAAAGAAAATAAAAATAACACATAATAACACCCTCCAAAGAAAATAACTATTAACATCTTGGTATACATCATTCCAGTCTTTTATTTATGTATATATTACTTTAAATATATATGATACTCAGGCTGGGCACGGGTGGCTCATGCCTGTAATTCCAGCACTTTGGGAGGCCAAGGCAGATGGATCACGAGGTCAGAAGTTCGAGACCAGCCTGGTCAACATGGCGAAACCCCATTTCTACAAATAATACAAAAATTAGCTGGGCATGATGGTGGGCACCTGTAATCCCAGCTACTCAGGAGGCTGAGGCTGGGGAATCGCTTGAACCTGGGAGGCAGAGATTGCAGTGAGCCAAGATTACGCCATTGCACTCCAGCTTGGGCAACAGAGTGAACCTTAGTCTCAAAAAAAAAAAAAAAAAAAAAAGATACTTATTGCTGCAAAGCCTGCTTTTTCCATATAGCAATGTATTCATGTATCCTTTTTATGGGGGGCCACTGTGCCCAGCCTGGAGAACAATTTTTCATAATTTTAAATATTCTTGGAGAACATAATTTAAATTGGTTGCATTACATTGCATTTTATAGGCGTGTCATAATTTCTTTAGTCAGTCTATTATCAAGAAATATCTTTGTGATTCTTCATTTTTCATTCACTCATTTTCTCACATACATGAAGTCAGCCTTTTTTATTTTTACCCTGCAATTATGATATGCAGGGTAAAACCAACCTTACTATTTTGAGTTATTAATCACCTTGCTCTCTAATGTTTGAATTTCACTAGATGAATTGAATGAAGGAACAAACTGATGTAGTCTGAGTACTCACATTTGAGTTAGTAGATGATCAAGTGGTCAAATCATGAACTTGACATGACCTTGTAGAACATCTATTGAGTTGACCTAGAAACTAAGGCATAAGTCCATGACCTATATATTTCGAACTAGAAAACTATTGGGTACATGCTCTGCCAGGGCCTGAAAATGTGATGTTTGGCAAATGATCTGATGAAGATATATTGCAATTTTTTTCCTCCAAGAGATCAGGATAGTAATGCTCAACAGTCCCTGTTCAGAGGTGCTGCAGGTGTAAAACCACCTACATGATGCAATTTTGAAACAATGAGGTTTATTCCTGGGGTAGTTCATATGAATCCAAACTCTAGGCTTTACAGTCACAGCTCCTATAAAAAAGATCTTTGAATTGTTTGGAAGAAAAGCACTTTATAAATCCAGCATCCAACGACATCCAATTTATCACACCCCACAAAACCATAAAGATCCATCACAAAATATTTAATGCCCTACCATTTTGCCCTCCAAGAATTCTTCATTCCCTTAACTGTGTCTTAAAGATCATTTGCCAAACATCATAGGACCACCAAAGACGAGCTCAGCCTTCCAGTGTAGAATTGCTGCTCAGGGCAGAGCCCCCTAAACAGGTCTCTGCAGTCAAAGAAATCACAGGAGTAGAGTTTTTGAGTTTAAGGAGATTCTAGTAAAACAAATGAATGGGAGTTGTTCTTCCCAGCTTATAGAAACCCATAAAGGTTTTCTAAACTTCCTAAACATTAGCACATTTTAAATAAAAGCTCATTCCACACGTCTCCTTGGAATTCTGGCCAGAGTTGCAACATTTCATTCAACTTTACATCCCTGAGTATTACTTATGAATCTGAACAGACTAAGCATCATTACCCTGGACTTTTTTTAAGTGAAACAAATCGAATGAGAATAAATCCAAATAGCTCACCTCTTGTAGTATATTGTCATCTTTATGAATATAAAATGAAAATCTTCATTTGGATTTCCCTAGAGACAGAAATCTAAGTAAATCATCTTCCACTGTAGAAAAATCAACTACTGTCTTATTAACACTGTCTACTTATATTGCTTTCAATTTATTCCCTCTTATTTTCTGATGAATAGCAAAATCATACAGTCATATCAGAATGATTTTTATTTCTTCCCTTTTTTTTTTTTTCAGGTTTGCGAATCGGGTTCATTTTATTTTAATCTATTCTTTGAGCGCCACCTGTTGGTAGAATTTTAGTATGACTCCTAGGTACTCTATCCTTTGTGCAGCAGTAGTCACGAAATGTGAAGGAAGATAAGCCAGGAATCAGGGGCTTGGCCGTTCAGTAGGGATGATCACACGAAGGTTAGGAAAGAGTGAGGGAAGAGGGAGCAATAAAGTGAAATTCATAAAGTCATGAGGCCAGAGATTATGGTAACAAATTTCTGGAAAACAGGATGCAGGATACCCTAACCTCGTTTTCAAGTTTCAGCATGTTGCTGTTGCTTATCTGTGAGCACCTGTAGCAGGAGTTCACAGCCTCATAAGAATGACTTCAACAATCCTCGTGGACACTAAGAGCTTCACTAATACTGATTTCTGCTTTTCTTGCAACAGGACTGTGAAGTAGGTGCCATTAGCCTCATACTTGTTTCAGTTATGGAAACTGAGGCACAGAGTAGTTGCACAGCTTACTTAAGATTACAGGGGCAGTTGATGGTAGGGCCAAGATAAAACCATGGCAGTCTGATCCCATCTCCCTGCTCCTGACTCCTCTGCTATGCTACCTCTGGGTCGCAGAATCTTCCCTGTAAAGGCGAGCTGGTTGGCACTCCTACCCCATCACCTCACCCCATCTATCTCACAGAGTGGCTGCACCTTGCCCACCTGCTCAGAAATCATGGCTATCTCACATCACAATTTAAAATAATGCTTCTTCAGAAAATGCTGTTGACCTCTCTTGTCTACTGTGTCTCCTTTTGCACTTGTGTCGTGCCTCGGTGAGATAGAGGAGACAGCACTGTGTTGGTTTCTGCCTCTTCGGTCAGTCTGAGCTTGCACAAGCCACTTAACCTCTCTAACTCCCAATTTCCTTATCTACAAAATGGTGCTAACGTTAACCTACACTTCTAAAACTGTCATGAGGACTGAATGAGCTGTGTGTGAGTCAGTGGTGGTGGGCTGTGTAGATGTTGGCAACGACATTTACAGATCAGCCTCCTCTGGAGGGAGCAGGTGTCTACACAGATGGGAAAACTGGGCTCTAAAAGGAGGTACCTAACTTCAGACAACTGCTGATCTTTATCCTTCTCTGCTTACCTGCCAAGTGCTCTACAGGAGATGTGTCCCTATCAAAACCCTGGGCACTTCCCCTTTCCAGCTCCAGGTCCCTGAAACCTCAGGTCACCATTTGTGTGTACGCCCCTTCATGGGATTTCTTGTCTGGCATTCCTGCTACCACTCCAATGCCCATCACTCCCATCAGGCACGCGCACGCACACACACACACACACACACACACACACACACACACAATTGTGGGTCCCTTCGTTCTACTTTTGTGGTTGCAAGGGCTTGTATCAAATAGTTATTAAATGATTGACAGTGGGAATAAAATCAACTTTAGCAATCACTGCCTTTCTCTCACCTCTATTCTCTCCTGGGAAGAGTCAATGTGAATAAACGATTTCATCACCTAGCAAGTGGCCAGGCTTTGAGCCCATCCATCTGTCCCTGTAAAATAAACATTTCCAGGAAGCAACCTTTCCCTGGAGGCCCTTATCTAGCAGGGAGCCAGCTAGAGAGTGATTATTGAAATGTGAAAACTGTTTGAATAGAGAAGCTGGAATTGTAGTCTCTCCAGTTTGCTCTTTGTCAGTGGGCTTTAACTGATAAATGACAGTTTTAGCCACAGACTGAGGTGTTAGGTAATTTTGTTTATGTGGTGGAAAGTCATGAAGCACAATGAAGCTATTAGTGAAGCCTGGGTGACTTGAGTTTCATTTAACAAAATAGCCAAACAGATGTTCTTTCAAGGTTCAGTGTTCTCAAACACCGACACACTACTCACACCCCAGCCAGCCCAAGCATTTGCACAGCAAGTTGATTTCTTGCTGAACTAATTTAAAGAGTTGCAACACTTTTTTGAGGGAGATTGTACAAAAATATTATTAAAACCTTAGACATTTTAGAATGCAGCAGCCAGACAGTACCGTTATTTTATGGGCTAAGCAGAGTTGTCATTTTATATTCCTGTCTTCTGATTCTGTGATTCTGTGATTAAAGGCTATCTCTCATGTGATTGGATCACTGTTTCCCTCTCGTCTCATTGTTTCCCAGCATCTAACCCAGTGTCTAGCACATAGTAGGTGCTCAATATTCACTAAATGAAAGGATTATTTTAATTGTTTCTATTCGATTCTACATAGTTTTCCATGTGGGACGTTATCATAAATTATGGATCGTTAAAAGATGAGCAAGAAATTTGGGTGAAAATCACCCTTTATCCAAGTCATATTTTTCTTAACAGAGGTTTTCTGTCAAGTTAAAAGCCATTACCATTTGTTAATATATCCTAGGTTTCCAAAGTTTATTATTAGACACTGAGCAGAGAAAACAGAGAAGAATATGGTGACATCTAGACCTACCTTTTATAAGGTTGTATCTTTTTTTTCCCAAGTGGAGCCCTGATTAAGTTGGTTGACCAGTTTTCCAGTTTCTTAGCAGGTTTTCCAATGGGCATTTTTCTTTAGAAGTACAATACAGTCAATCTAGCTATAATATTCAATGCAGATAATGTAAATATCATCAATATGGATATTTTCTATCTGTAATCATCTTGAATGATTAGGATGGCTTTGATACAAACATTAATGGTGCATCTTATCTATGATGCTTCTGTGAGGAATGGACCCTGAGGATGGGAGACTGAATAGTATCTCTAGCTTAGACTACACTGATGAAATAATGAAGACTGTATGGCCATGCAGGCTGTGAGAACTAATGATGCTTTGTTTGGTCAGAGTGTCTTTTCTCCTGTCT